CGCTCCCTTCAATTTCAATGCGGTATTGATCGTCGTCTATATAAGAGGAGTCATTTTAATTAATCAAGTCTAATAAACATGAAAACTAAAAAGAAACAGAAGAAAAAACGATAAAATCCAATGAAAAAGCAAGCCAGTCAAGGAAAAATATCGCGTCCTATCGATTTTCGGGAGGCGGGGTGAGTACGGTAATTGCAGTGACATCTGCCGCATGCCGCAAGGGAGAATGCCGCGATAGGGGAGAAGTTCCGTTACCCAGAAACCCATACCCAACGTCCACGCAACACATCTTTTGTGCATTCTCAAGGAAGCCTAAAACTCTAAGGAGAGCTTGATGGCTCCTAGCATGGTAAGAGTGAGCGGCGCTTTCGTACTAGGCGACCTAGTAGAGCCCAATCCAAAAGAGAACAAGCTACTATTACAGAACGACAGCATAGCCAATGATGCCATGCACTCGTTGAGTTACACAAGAAACAAAGTTCTCTTATTCCAGTTAGGGTTTTATCATTCGTCGCCACTGCACTATGTATGAGCGCTTCAGAGTACAGCGATGAGCGTAGAGCGGTGCGCTCCCGTTAGCGTCCGCTGTCGGCTTTTGCGTCAGGGCATGGTGCTTGAAAGAAGCACTACAGAACAGGATATTATGATACTAGACTATAACTAGGATTGACGGTACTTCCTCTAGTTCCCATAGCAAGCGGCGGTCATTTGTATCCTACTACTACGAATTCGATCATTCATTTCAAAGCGCTCGATCGAGTAAGGCGAGCGCGAGCGATTTTCGGGGAGAGGTCCCACACCCTACACCGAGCAATCGAAGCAAAAGTATCAAGTCCAAATGCAAAAAAANACACGCGCCAAGCGCCCAACGCTCAACGCCCAACGCCTCACTTGGGAAGATGTCTGTCCGACTCTTCACATTGCGGAACCAGCCGACGACGACGTATGCGGATGAGCGAAGCGTATGACACACTTAGCTGCCACCGCCTTATTTGAGATGAAGGCTGAACTAGGATAAGCTGGTTTTTGGGTGTGAATGTATTACTTTGTTAGCTTGAGCTCTCACCTTAAGTAAGAAGTGCACGAGAAGAACACTTAGTTTTCACAATGTTTGGTCCTTCCCAGATTTCGATGAAATAATCCGAAACTTGGGCTTTTTCGGGGTAATTTTCATATGGAGCCAAGGCTGCACAAATAATTCAACCCGATTTTTGCTCGCTTGACGGTTTTTTCGTCGCCATTTGCCATAATTTTTAGAAAAAGGTCCCAACCAATTCCGAAAAAAAGATGCATAGCTTCACTGAAAAAGGAACCGAAACTGTTCGATATTGCTTTGAACGAAAAGCTGTGCTACACTACTGTAGTTTGTTAGTTCATTTACTTTTAAGAAATGGGTCTAACTATTAAAGAGCCTGTCAAGCCGAAATCGCACTTTCATAGACTGCGAATGTGTTCCAGAGGTAATGGACGAAATATACCCTTGAGGCAGCATAGCGGACACAATACTCTTCATGTAAATAAGTTGAATGGTGTTGAAGAAAAATTAAATATTCTGGGGCAGGGAAGCCATGGAGACTGAGACGACCTGCCGTTTAATGCCAGCCAGCCTATGTGTGAGTACTGATGACCTGTGGCATAAAAGCCATCAAGAAAGCGAGGGCCTCGGCAATGTAAGGGATAAAGAGCACGGTACCCGGAAAACACAAGCACGACTTCGAGACCCGTCTGAAGCCGAAGTTTTGCCCACAACTTGCCATCCTTGTGAGACTTCGGATAGCAAGGCGAAGTAACAGCAGTTAACAAAAGATCAGCTCAAAACGTATGCCACTCGCCTTGTTACCTCTCAACATCACTTCAAATTCGATTTGAAAGGCCACAGTTTTGGCAGGTGGGGACGTGGAGAACTAGTCGGTTTCTTGTCTGCATTTCTTATCAATGCTTGGTTCTTGAAGCAGGACAAAAACTAACATTTCTGAGTAGAGCGCCCCATCCTAGGATCCACTTCTTTGCTGCGGATAATCGAAAGCAAGTAATAGACACTCAAGACCTGCGATGAAACGTACCGAGGATACCTAGCAAAACTCCATCACATTAGCTCATCTGTAGGTATAACTTCGCAATATAAGTGAATCCATAGCTTTACCTACCGTTTTGTACATCAGCCTGTCCACCCACAGACTGCCTCTCGAGAGAAATAGCCATGATTAAAAAACCTCACCTGTCCTTTTAGTGGAGCATCTAATCAAGGAAGAGCTCTTCCGATCCAAGGGAGAGTTTCCCGCCGGATCTGTGGAGGAGAGAACTAGTGGCGTCGGTGAGATGCTGACCTCCTGTAAAACGTTCCAGGTAATTGTGAGTTGAGCAGAAGGATGTTATTTGGATAAACCTTAGATCTTTGTCAAGATCTTTGTAACCTAGGCTCAAAAAAACGGTTATAGGTACTAGAATTTATCAAGGCGTAACACTCTTAACCCTGCTTCATGCGATGAAGTCTTTTACAACCACTCTTCCTGATTCAGGTAACAAAAATCTCTTTCCTACAAACTTATTTCTTTGATTTCTTTGCTAGATTCTCTTAGCTCCCGAAGCGTCAAACTGTCTAATTCGTAGAACGCCTCTTCGGAAAGGGGACGACCTCATTACAGAAAAACAGAGAAAGGCAAACCTTAACCTCGCTTCCTCTGTTCACCTGCTAACATAGCAATAAGCATACCAAAAGGCATTAAAATTAGAAAATGAGTATGCATAGCTCGAAAACTGCAACCTCATTTCTAATTGTAGTCATTTAGCCAGTCTGCTCTCTGCTGTGCCTTGAAAAAAGGGAAAGATACTTCTAGACATGTCAACGAAAATTATAGCCTTCCCTACCCTATCAGAGAAGCTCAGCCTACGTGTTCACCTGATTCAAGTTTGTTTCATTTCAAACATCTTTTTTCAGATAAGGGTAGCCGTCTGGGTCTATCGTGGGGGACGGCTTTTACGTGCGTGGCAACTTGCGCGGCGAAGTTCGTAACGATTTCAACGGCCTATCATTGGAGTCCAATTTTAAGTAGATTAGATTAGAAGGATCATCTGACCTTACTGAAATACTCTTCTTAGAGTTTGCACCCCGAAAATTGGCGTCCGAGTCCTACAAATCGTCACGAACTTCGCCGCGCAAGTTGCCGCNCGCGTCCTCGGACGCATGTAGTGCACGCCCCCGACTAACATGCATCTACCGTAATCGTTTGATACGTAATGCAGCCGCTATGCATCATATCTAGCATGTAGTAGCGTTGGAAAGCTGTCGAACCAGGCTCTCTCAATGTTTATTCCTAACCTACGTTCGCTTGTGGTAACTGCCCTAATACGAGCTCATTATTTTCACGCTCATCACAAGAGTGTGTTTTGTATGTCTACCATTGTCAGAGATTGATTTCACTACCTCAAAAAAGCAGTTCATTTCGTTTAAGATTTGAAAGCACCAGAGAATTCGCGCCCCTTTGAAGGCGTTGAAACACCAGCTGCGTGTCAATATAACTACGTAGACTTTCTGTTATATGCCGCCTACTCTTCCCGAACCATTAGGGCATGTGTGACGACCTTTGGGCCTTTCACGGAATGCAGCGCTAATCGTGAGCAGCTCGCAAGACGGAAATACTCTGCTCCTCTGAGCATTAACACTGGAAGCCCATCGGGTAAATCCCACCCTTTCATCCATAATTCAGAAAGAACTACGACACTTCACACTTGGTAGTAACAAAATCTGTGGAGGCAGGACGGGCGCAAACCCAACCACTCACACAAAGTAAAAGCAAGAAAAAAGATTCGTGATTGTAACTTTATTCATCGATAAGATTCTAACATGACTTCCATAGAATACAAGCCACTCAGCCTGATCCATCCTTTCCTCACAGTAAACACAATTAGGACAATGAGAACAGGCAAGTGCGAGAAATTAAACGCATTTGAAACCCATCAGAAATGTACAGACTTCAACGAAAAAAAAAGAAACATAAAACGCAACCCCACCCGACCAACAGGACCCGAAACAGTATTATCCTGAGCAATGATTGAGAAAATTGAAGGCTCATCGAGACACTAACTAATACAAAACGCTGTACTAGTGCTTCTCAAAAGTAACAAGCGTCTGAGCGCGCCTGAGAGGCAGCCCCCTGTACCTCAATCCTCAAGCACATCAGGATTGTGACTTAATCACAGGAAAATCTATGAAGATCCCCTGACATCGAAGTGGGGTGGATACTACACAACTGACTGGGAGGTATGATTTTCACCGAGAACAATTCCGTTATCAATTAACATCTTCCTTAATCGTTGATTCTCCTTCATCATTTTCGACATGTTTTCTTGGTATAACTCTGCATTCTTCTCTTTATCCAATATTTCTTTTGTCATCTGAAATTCAAAATAAACGCAATCGCCATGGTAAGCTTCTGCTTTTCGAAGATGAGCCTCCAAATTGTTTTCAAAAAAAAAAACCTCAAATCACTAACTAAAATTTCAGTGGTTCCTCATTCAATAGAAAAGCCACTAGCATATCAACAACGCCAATACAAACAATGTTAATAACAGAATTACCATACCTCATCTTTGGTGAGTTTGGAGATACGGTCCATAGTATATTCTTCAAATTCGGCTTCGAACTCTCTATCCATTTCCTTATCGGTTTCGCTGTCACCACTTGAGGATGCACCTTCGCTAGCAGCCATAAACTCACTCGACACACTGATCGAACGAACTCGCTTCCTTTCACTTGCTTCGTATGCCAGCTCAACCTATATAGCGATGCTTGGTACTTCTCATAACTTAAAAACGCATGATCAGTTCCACGCAATCATCAATGTAAAAAACTAAATGAAATTACCAACCTCTAACCCCTTCTCGGCTCTGGCTTCACGATCTTCTAATAGGAACTGTGTTGTATTGCTTGGAGCCATCGGTTTCCCATTCGCCATACTGCAAAAGTTTCAATAATAGTTGTCACCCTACGCTTTATCCAGCTTAGAATATGAACGCTCACCCTGACCTCAACCTTGCTCTCAGGTGCATCAAGTGAATAAAGGAAATGGTTAACATGAATTCGAAATTTAGCCACTGTACTGTGTTGACCTACCTCTCTGAACATGAGCGTCACCACCTCAAAACTCATGAGAACGGAAAATTGGGCACTACAGAACTCTACCACACCTTCTCAATGGAGTGAGAAAGGAGTACTGAACGAGGCTGCAGTACTCAAATCTTCCACCCTGCACGTTCATCAATGATGTCGCCCTTGTTAAGCAACTGTTACCAACTAACTACACACCACAACAAACAATTATTAACAGGACCGTAAACGTCAAGAGATAGAACAACATTTAGAAAGTGAACGAGATGGTCTGAAATACTGACCCGGCGACTGAATTGAAGCACAAGTGTTGTCATCAAGTCCCGGAATCATCATCCAATCCATCTTAAAGAGGATGAATCAGTTCTTGTGCTATCAGAACAATGATTGGCGGGCAAGAGCGAAAGGAGCGAGATTGAAAATGGCGTGCTTCTACCATAACCCGTCCATGTCACCCCAAAGATTTGTAGACTAAGAATGAAATAAGAGAACAGCTGAGAGCATAAGAGAGCAGTGATGAACAGAATATAAGATTTAAAAGAAGAGTCCGAATACTTCACAACCAACCGTTCTCGAATCCTACGCTCCGATCTCGCAGTTTCCGCGGCATCCAAGGCAATCTTCTCTTCCGGGCTCAGTGAATGATATGGCTTGAAACGGCTCTTGTTAGCTCGACGGCGACGGGTCTTTCTTCGTTTCTTCTCAGTCTCGAGATCACCGTCACTAACGGACCTCTCCTGATCAGAGGTATGAGGAACAACGGTTGGTTGCTCACTCGACGTCATCGCTGAGCTTGAATTCTCAGAGATCGCCTTATCGAATGAGTACCTATGCTGTGGAAGGTAGTCGAGGATATCAAATTGCACTTCACACCACTGAAGGCAATGCCAGATGACTTCAGAAGGCGCGCTTGCACTAGCAACAGCTGATCCACGGTAAGCACCACAAACGTCGCAGCCACAGTGCGATCACACAACTAGAAAGCCAACCGCACCGCCTCCCCCTTTTATATGAGAACGCGACCGCTCGCATGGCCCACTGCCACGCCCACCTACGCAAGACAGCCGAGAGTGCGTGCGCACATCAACTGGGGACTTGTGGACTGGGAATGGGAGATGAACCGGGGCAAGTTTGACACCAGCCATGGTCAGGAAACTATTCCCGATCGTTTCTTGCTGGAATTAACTGGAAAGTACTAAGTTTCCAAATAGGCTGATTTAGTCCAGCAAAGCAGTATTTGACCATCAGAGCAGTATATTGCACGGTACAGCCTTATCACTTCAATCATTCCTGGATCTATTCCCTTGTTTCACATCAGAGGACATATTTGCGACCGGCCCCCGGCCGTGGTCGATACGCACCAGAGATGCAGGGTTCCGATTGCGAGGAAGTGTGTCAAAACCGGGGGGTGCACGAGAAGCAGCGTGGGAGCGGGTTGCAAGGCACGAGGACTCGACGACGGGGTCGAAACTTTTCCCCATGTTACAAGTACTACAGAAAAGTATCCAAGCAGTAAAGGGAAATTAGACGAGCTTGTTAAATCAATGGCAGTTCCCATTTCAACAAAATTACGGTGTTTGGGCGTTCCTCAAAATCTTGCTCAAATGCAAGTTTGTCCCATGGATTGCTCTTAACTACTTACCTTGCCCATAGCCTGACACTTGTCCAATACCTGCTTTTCCCTGTTGGTCCCCAGTTTGTGTATCTCATCCCGTCGTCCGATGGCCGTCCAGATGCTCTACGTCTCCGCTGTCGTGAGTGGCCTGGGCCTCCACACCGCCACTGTACTCTCTCGTGTCCGCTCTGCTTCCCTGGCTACTCACATGACTCCCCGATCCATCTATTCACAATTTCCACCCGCATACGTTATTTACGCCACGAAAGTACGGTGGAACGATTACAACGGAGTGTTGGCTAGTGGCCAACTCGTTGATATTATCACTGGGAACGCGCGCACGCGCAATCTGAAGACCTTATCAGATCGGGTTTTGTCTTCTTGGATTTTGGCGATTCAGATGTGTCCATTCATCAATGGGTGGATGGGACTTCCTGAAGACTTTTGGGTCTAGTTGCCCTTTGACCGTACTGCCCTTTGCTAATTTAAGTACGTTAAGGAAGTAGAAGAACGTGAAGCTCCATTTTCCATGAGGCTTCTTCCCAAAGAAGGTGCCCTTTCAGACATTCGCATGCACAGATGCCCACTGAAAATGTGAACAAGTCGTCCTGGGACGTCCATTCAATTACCTCAATTTCATTGCTTGAAGCTCAACAGCAGACCTTTTGTAGGTACAAATATTAACTTTGTAAAATAATTGCCTCCGTAGAGGCTGCGGAAAGATTCCATACTAAGATTTCGTGCAGTTGGGTTGCTGCGGGGAAGGTTCTAATACGGCAATGCGGACTAGAAATATGATAGGGCCAATAGGCCACAGTGAATCATTGAGGTCCCTTCCCCCATTTCATCACTGGAACGTCAATTTTGTCTGTGGAACTGCAAATATAACTTTTCATAGACCTACTGCTTATTACTGCTTATCAGATGTTTTCAGTCATCATGTCATACAGCGTTCTGCCTCTGCTTCCATCGTCAGTGCGATAAAACAGATGTAGGGAGAGTCCTGCAGAGTCTTGTAACCCAATGAACCTGCTTCGGGTTTTAAGGCCCCACTGTCGAGAGATACGACCCGAATTCACCCTTGCCCATAAAAAGTGTTCCATGAAGGCAGCAGCATAGCCGATGATGTCGCTGCTGACATAAGTATTAACGGGCACAAATGGCTGAATCGATATCGAAGTGCACATATTTGTCTCAACATTAGTGTTCCTTTAGTATAAGGCGTTAACTTGTGTACTTGAGGTGTTTTTTGTAGGGCTGGGGCCATATAGACGTCTTCCCTGTGCCGTTCCTGTCATTCACAAAAGCCTTTCTTTGGTTCGTGTTAAATAGACCGTTTCATGATCGTTTGCCTCGATTTCTCGTGAAAGGTGTGAGGCCTGGCTTTCCTTCAAGTTTGATTTTACTTGACGGCAATATCAGACTAGGAAATCGCTGGTCAACAGCCCCCTTAGGGAAACAGAATCCCAAATATGGTTATGATTACGGTCCCCAGAGAAATCGTGGCTTATTTTTGGCCTATTTTTGATGGCATGACCAGGACGAGGTATCCTTCGTCCCAAGAAGTTCGGTATGATTGCAGCACCGATTCCTGAGCAGCGTTAAATCACTAATTCGCATTTTTAATCAATTCCAATAATAAAATTTCCTTTTATTGACATTTATACACGAACTCTTAACAACTGAATTACACTGGAAAGATCCGATTGGGAAAGTCCCGAAGAGACGCAACCTCATCAGCAGCCAGGTCCTTGAGTGGTCCAGTAATTCGCGGCCATTGGGTCGGCGGCCGGACTCGATGATCAACAAAGCCGTGTGAGTCGCTCGCATAGCTCCTCCTCCTCCTCCCGATTTTCTCAAACGTCACCATTGAGCATTTCCAGGAAGCTCCACGATTTTGTTCTATTTTGTGTTTAATTACCTTTTTTGTTTTAGTCTTTAAGACACATATTTTACCACAAATGAAAAAAATCGTGGAGTGTCGCACCCTTCCCACC